TTTGTTCAGGCAACGATGAACTTTGTCTAACAGGATGTGCAACCTTGCGTATCCGTTCGGTGCGTTGAGTTGTAGGGGTGGTAGTAGTATCACAGCATACGTGTGTAAGATGTTGCATAAACAGCAGCATTTAGTGGTTAACTAAATTTGTAGAATGCTCATCAGTTGTTCCCTCTCGCTTTTTAAGTGAAATACGTGTTTTAGCAGGCATATTTTACTGATTACTCTCTGTGACCAGGTCTTGTGACCTTATTGACCTTTCCTGTACGAATCCAATTTTGTATTTTTTCTCATGCGTTACTCACGTTATGCAGCGAGAGGTAGCAGCTAATGAGCACTCTAGAAATTTTTGGATCCATTTATTTCTGCTGTTTATGCAATCCTCAAATTTGCACCAGAGAAGATATGCTTTAAGTAGGTAGGATAATCATTAGGTCCTTGACCGGCTTGTTGTTTCGAAGGCAATACTTTTTCATGGCTGCTGTAATTCGATATCGGTGTCCGCAGTCCATAAATATGCATGACACCTTTCTTGTTAATGACCTGCACATTGATTCATGTACAGCCTGCTAAAGGATCGCTTCCCATTTTTTCTCTTATTAGTTACTACCACCTCGAGGAGACGAATGCAGACGCGGTGAACCGCTACCTCTCTGAGGTGGTGTCCGGTGCGGTGAACAGTCTGATCGAAAATAGTTGCGTCGAGCAGGATCCCGAGGATCCGCTAGTCCTGCTGCCCACGTCAAACGGTCGCCTGGCCTCTTTCTACTATCTTTCACACAAGACAATAGGCCTTTTCACGGCCACAATCACAGCCACCACCACTATACCGGAACTGCTAGCGATTGTGTCGGTGAGTTTGACTGTCTCTTCCTGCCTAATCCGTACTGCGCGGAAGATTTTATTGATTTTAGTATGTTTTTTTTATAATTGCGCGTGCTTGTGGTCCAATCTCTGTGTGTTTAGAAGCAGTTTGTGAGTGTTGGTTTGGGTTAGCTTCTTCGAGCTCGTTTGTATGCATAGCTGGTTAACTTGAAAGATCCAGTTAGTAGTCCATGTGCGCTCCTGACCAAACCGTTCACTCGCATAATACTATACATTTCATCCTATGGGGATATCGGAATCCCATGTGATATATTTTAATAACAATAAAGCCCTTTGGAAGTGCTGGGGAGGTGGGTTACCCGTTAGTCTAGCTGCTGGCTACTCGGCGCGTTCACAGGTGGCGGATAGTGGAACGACCTTCAGTGAAGGTTAGCTGTGAAATAAGCGGACTCTCGAATCTGACTAATAAGCGGTCGTGGACTAGCAGTGGTAGTGGTACTAGGCCGCGGCGAGCTGAAGTCTGGCAAGCCAAAAGCCTATAAAGTGTCGCAACGCCTGACGACGGCGCTGTGACATGGCGAGTGTGAACCGCCATCAAATAAGTTCGCTTAACATCGCTGCCCTGTGGTTAGGCTATTAAGTCAGAGCGCTAGAGGAGTCAAACTCGAACAAACAATCCGTGCAGCCGTTGGGGATCCGCTCGTACCCGAAATTCCCAAGTCACCTCATTAAATATATGTCCGATGCCTTTGGGAATGCATCGCCAAACAAACTGCATGCTGTGCTTGTGTAAGTGACCAGGTGTTGCAGTGTGCATTAGCCATGCGCCGGCTCCTCGGTCAAAATTATCAGCTCCCGCATCCATCGTCGGTAATTAGAGGTGGTGTGGGTCATTTGACCTGGCCGACACTGGCACCACACGATCGCCGCCTGTGTTACGGAGGCGGGACTTCCTATGCATTTAT